ATACACAAAGTAAGGGATACACAGGGGTGTGCCATAGGATACACAGTGCTTGTGTATTACGTTTAAACTATGTTTACACATTGCAGTTGTGACTACCGCGTAACTTTTAACGTATGTATTTTGCTTCGTATATACATCTTGTGCTAGATAAAACTACTTCTTATGAACGAATTTAGGAAATAATACAAGTTTTGATGCCTAACTTTTCGTTCTTGTTAAGAAATATTTATTCAATGATACCAATTATATCTTTTTAGAACGAAAATTAGGAAGGCAAAACTTTGTATTTTCCAACAGTATCTCAAAATTGTTCCATTTTTGTTTTGTATTAAATGTACCATTTTTCTTCCATAAAATAGATTAAGTGGTTAAAAAATAAAATTCTTATATTTCTTTATATCATGAAACGCAATAGCGCAAATAACACAATAATAATAATAATAATAATTTACACTGCAGAAACCAGAAGCAAGAAAACACTGTAAAAGAACAAAATTTGTATCAAAATGTATTAAAAATAAAAGTACCTATACTAACATACTAAAATGGCTAACAACATACTAAAATGGTAAACACTGGTATATCGCCACGATTTGGTGGACCTCGTTTAGTCATTTTTTTCTCGTCTTTTCCCTCCAAGCAGTTGGTTGGTCAGCATACTCATTCATCGAGCACTCTGTTGGACTTTGTTGTATTTTATTTCCAGATTAACAATCTCACCCTTAAATTTTATATGAAACTGATTATTGAATGTTAAACATATCTGTATATCGATCCATCAATAACTTACCGAATATCAGTGTCAGAAGTTCCGTGAAGTGTTTAAATCTTTCTATCTCTGGTTCATTTAGATTTTTATTATTTCCAAATTAAAAAAAATTATATTGCAGAGCTAACCTCTTTATCATTATACGAGAATATTTGGAGTTTTCATTCGTTGGAGTCAAAATTTGGTAAATTGGGTATCGAATAAAGAAAGAATCGCTGCTATAATATTAATAATACACTTAGGAAGGTGTAACAAGGTAATTGAAAACTTGTGCTTACCTTAAAATCTCTTTTAAACTACACACAAACAGCACATTTATATTGAGCTTCCGAATGATAAAACAATAATGGCTGCTAACACATACCACTCCTAGAAAGGAGAAAGGAGAGAGAACACCATGAGGACACATAAGATACACTTGGTCGGTGTATCTACGCTGAGGCTATCCACGCGTGCGCACATCTTCATTTCATGCTAGAATGTATACACAACAGTACACTATTACAAAGTGTCTATATAGATATTTATATTATGTGTATATGTCACATTTTTACGTGTGTACAATATGAAGTATCACACATACATATGACTTATACATTGTATATCTCATATACCGACGTCAGATTTCATCATTTTAATAATTATTCGTTACGTTACAAAAAACTCTTTAGAATCTTGAGTGCATACGGTATACAACTAGTAAACACTGTATCACACAATTCTATCAATATAAACCTGCGTGTATCTCATATGTATATGTTAGAACTAGATGAACACTTAGGTTCACTTTAACATATTTTCTTTCTCATGTGTCTCCCTTGTAGAAACGTAATTTCATTTGGACATGCTGTGTGGTTTACTAGTTGGGAATCAGTGGAATCTTGCAATTAGTGGAATGTTCGCTCCTTTTCTAGCTAGATCGTTTGCTGTTTCATTACCTTCCATCTCTTGGTGAGCAGGCACCCAGAGTAGGAGGACTTTTTTGACCAACTTGGAATTGATGGTTACTGAGTTGATCGCTTTTAAAGTTGCTTGATTATCGGATAAGTTGGTTATTTCTTGATAAGAAATGAAACAGAGCAAATAAAAGATTTGTTATGATTAATGAAGCTAATATATTATACGATTTTAGCTGATATTTTTCTTCAACTTGACCCTAAATAATCGAGAAATACCGCGTCACAAATACATTTAACCACTCGAAATTTTCTCGGTCCGGTAAACAGGAACCTGTTTTATCGACAATTTCGAACCTGTTTTATCGAACCTGTTTTATCGACACGAATTTCCAGCCAATTTTTCAGCCACGGCTTTTCTTTTTGGGGCAAACCAGAGAGAAGAGAAGCTATAAAATCCCCAAACCTCCGACCAATTAGGAGAGAGGAACCTCCCGCCTGGTCCATATATCTTTCTTATTGCTCATTTGGCAGCGTAAAATAACTCTTTAAGAGGTATATTTGCTAGATTTATGTCGATATATCTTCGGAGTATGTGGCGTAAGGGACTGGAAGTTTATTTTTGAATATAGATTTACTCTCAAAATTTATTAAAAGCTTCTACATAATATTATTTACGAAAGGTTTAAAGTTGGTATGGTTATATAAAGTGATAAAACATCTAAAAGATTATACAGGGTTGTTCACCACATACGACACGGAGTATTGTAGCTAAACGATTAGATTTTTACAAATTGTAAGTGTTGGGTTCGTTGAAGGACTATTAGAGCTACAAATTAAAAATATTTTTACAAGATACAGAGTGTCCCAAATAAATAAAAAATATCAAAGTTTTCAATTTTGTGAAATTGCAGTAAAAATTTTAAGACTTCATTTCTCCGAGGGTATCAAAGTTTTTAATACTAAATATTTACTGAAGTTTATTTATTGATCAGTTATTGTGTTGCAATAATAAAAACTTTACTACCTTATACAGAGTGTCTAAAAATTTATTTTAAATAATTACTAGTTTTAAACGGCAATAACTTGTTTAATTTAAATGGAACACATTTTAGGATCATTTACATTTAAGTAATTGTATTAGATTTTGTACCTAATATCACATTACTAGGATTATATGTATAATTTTTACATATTTATAATTTTCAAATAAAATGTTATTTTATATCAGTCAAATTGTTTTATTAATATTCTGTCTACATTTTCACATTTTAGGTTTGTATTAAAACAACAAATGTACAAAATGTACAGGCTAGTAATACTATCGTTTTAGTAAAACGATAATATTACTACATAAAATCATGACATTAATTTATAGTGGGACCCTGAAATTCCGCATAAACATAGTCCCAAACTGCAGTTAATTGTCGCTTATTCCTATAAAAATTCTAAACCAATTAGGATACTGCAGCAAAATCCTTATTACTTATTGCAAATCCTGCAATTTCTCTTTTGTTATAAATTTACATTTGTTAAAATATTAATACCTTTTTTACTGACGTCTTATCACACTTCAATTTCACATACCTAATTTTAATAAAATAGCATATTATCTAATCAATCAAGTTAGGATGCAAATATCTTGTTGTAGCAAAACCCGCATCATATTAATCATCCTCTTTAACAAAACCTTTAACAGTGTATCATTTTGCCACAAACCCGCCTTGTCGAATTATTTTAGTGATTTTTCTCTTTAAAATTAAATATTAATTTTTATTTCTAGAAAAACATTTGAATCAATTGACATGATTTTCGTAATTATTTTTAAACACATTATTTATTTTGTCACTACTGTAACGCCCTCTACATGTTGAAATTCTACCTATGGAGTTATCTCTACACTCAATATTAATCTATCGACGTACTCGTATATATTTTATAATGTAACCTTGTTTCGTCGTAGAAACTGATTTTGTAATAATTGTGTTAGTTTTTTAAAAAGTAATAAATTATGTAACAAACTCTGTGTTATATAAACTGGCTCATAAACGAGGGGCCGGGGTTAGCAAAATAATGTGAAAATCGCATCATTGTATCTCTGCTCATAAACGAGAAACCCCATAAACCACACGAAAATGGTACAGATGTGATGCCATTTAAAAAAATACAACTTTGATATTTTTTATTTATTTGGGACACTCTGTATCTTGTAAAAATATTTTTAAATTGTAGCTCTAATAGTCCTTCAACGAACCCAAAACTTACAATTTGTAAAAATCTAGTCGTTTAGTTACAATACTCCGTGTCGTATGTGGTGAACAACCCTGTATAGTAAATAAAATTAATAATTAGGTTAGAAAATAATCAAGACAAAACTGTCATTGTCATGTAACTTATCGTTGGACAGACTATATTATAGTTGTAGTATGTATTTCTCATCTACAGAACATACCAGGGTGGTTCGAATTGTATTCGGGAAGTTTTAGCAGCGTTAAGCTTGATTTTCATGCATCTGTTATCCGACGATACGATGATACGATATTAATTTTATTGGTTGAATTTAAAAGCTTCGATTGGTTAGAAAATTACGCAGTTTTTAAATTTATTGCATTTTTATACCTCGGTACATCGGATATACGATTTGCTTGTGATTGGTGTCATTTTATATTTTTATTTCCATAACTATTTCGCTGTTTTAGTTATAGTCTAAAAGCTAGCAACATTTTCGTGAGAGAATTTTAAGAAAGCTGGTTCTTTAATATATCTTTTGCTATGTTCGCCTGAACAGAGTGCGGACCGTCTGGCTGCCGGTAGACGTTGCGTTCACTACTGCGCATCATATCTGTATTCAAGATCTGTTTGTTACTGCGCATCACAAATTCGTCCTCTATTTCAGGAACTAAGGAGGCTAGAACAAACATATGTGTAGCATATTTAGTTTCATAAAAAGTAGCAAAATAATGTGAAAATCGCATCATTGTATCTCATAAACGAGAAACCCCATAAACCACACGAAAATGATACAGATGTGATGCGCAGTAGTGAACCGCAGTAGTCTACTGGCAGTATGGGAATAGACGGACCAACAACAAAGTAATTAAATCAAGCTCTACTTAAATAAACAAAAGTTTAATTCATACATTTTGTTTGTATATGTTGGGTTAAATCAAATCAATGTATATAATTATCTATTTTTTTATACATATGTCATGACTACAAACTACTTACCCATATATTATGGCACTTCTAGGTGTACCTATTTCTCTAAAAGACGTGCACAATACAAAAACAAAAAACTGAACGTTGCACTAATCCTAATTAATTGCTTGTTGCAGGACAATTTTCGGGAAGCAGCTCGAGCGTGGCAGGATTCAGCACGTTAAATAGCAGGAGGTCCAGGCTAAACCGGACTAATCGCAGCAACAGACAAAGCACAGTGAACAAGTCTTTTGACAGCGACTGCAGTAAGTATAGTAGAGTAGTATGTGTGTGGCTTTAAATCCTGTCAACCTTTATTTTGTCGTGACTTTGGACTTGTTGACTTTGTTTGTGACTTGGACTTGGCTGTGATTATGTTATCTATACTAATATAATATATAAAATCCTTAAGTGGCTGACTCACTGATTAATCACGATCCTGCGCAAACCACTCAACGTAAGAACCTCAATTTTGGCATACAGGTTGATTCTAGGGTGTAGAGGTTCGATAAGAAGGGATTTTTCAAAAAATTCCAGTTCCTAAGGCTAGTCTCAAATATTACAATATTTTTTATTTAAAAAACGGTCAAGTTTCCGAAAAAAACGCTTAAACACGTATATTTTATTTTGTTTTTTTACCTGTTTCAAGATTTTTTATAAAAGTATACAGGGTGTTTCGAAAAATCTGGTTATTGATTAATCACGATCCTGCTTAAAGCACTTGACGTAAAAAGCTGATTTTTGGAAAACGGATTGACTTTAGGGTGTAGAGGTTCAATAAGAAGGGATTTTTCGAAACTCGAATTCTAAGGGGGTGAAACCACCCCTCAAATATTAGAATATTTCTTATTTAATAACCGGTGAGTTTTTCGGAAAAACTCTTAAACACGTACATTTTATTTTGTTGTTTTACATATTTTAAGATTTTTTAAAAATTTATACAGGGTGTTTCAGGGAGTAATCACGATTCTGCTTAAACTGCTTGACGTTTAAAGGTGATTTTTGGCAAAATGATTGACTGTGGGGTGTAGAGGTTCGATAAGGAGGGGTTTCTCGAATCTCAAATTCCAAGAGGGTGAAAACGCCCCTCAAATATTACAATATTTGTTATTTAAAAAACGGTTAGTCTTTGACACGCTTGGACACGCTTGGACACGCATAATTTAATTTGTATTTTTACTTATTTTGAAATTTTTGAAAAATTATAGAGGGTGTTCCCAAAAGTTGGGTAATTGATTAACCACGATTCTGCTTAAAATTAGGCAAACGAATTTTTCGAAAGTCAAATTCCAACGAAAATACCCCTCAAATATTACCAAGATATATAATAATATCGCTATATTGTTTTTTCTCATGGTGACATAAATGTGAGAAAATTTTATCCAGTTTGTATGTTAATGGAAATTCTTGCTTTGCTTTATCATCACCATTACAAATGATTAATTCGACGCGAACGAAGTCGCGGGTACAAGCTAATAATAAGATATAATTAAAAGACAAATGAAATAGAATTAACACGTTTTATATATATCTAAATAATTTAATTTATTACTTTATTTATCCCAACATTTCAGTGTTCATATTTCGTTTCATTTATTATGAAAATTCGCTCCGATCGATGCGACTATCTGACATTTGACGTTGACAGCTGACCGCGTTCTATTAATATTAAACTGAAAAAATCGGACGCCGCACCCCGGCCCACTCAAATTTAAATTAAAATCAAATCTAAATTAATGCCGCATTTAAATTAGCCAAATGTTTATCGACATAATATATATAATTAGTTGTAATGCGTCGATCCGCGTGGGTTAAATATATTGGGGCTTAAATTAAACCGATTGGACTATTAGATTTAAATTTTTGTTTGGTTTAATTAGAACCAGCGTTAATATTAAATACCGAGGTTAATAGTGATGTTCCAAACATTTTTAACAGGTTTTCAGCAATTTAAAAAAATTGGTCAAGTGCAAGTCGGACTCGCGCACGAAGGGTTCCGTACCATTTATTATCTATACAACATTAGGCACTATATTATTATCAACTTTTTTTCCGATTTAGCTGAAATTTTGAATGCGCGTATAAGTAATTTAAAAAAAATGAAGAAACACATTACTAAAAATTGTATTAATCAATAATAAATATGAAAAAGTAAAAATAAATATGTAAAAATTTAAAAAAAAACGATTAAAAAAAGTCGCCTTGACTAGGATTCGAACCTGCCTTACTACGGCTCCAACGTCATAACATCGTAAAGTCCTAACGCTTTAACCACGCGGCCACCGAGGACTTGAAAGATTCTATGTAAAATTCTTACTTAAAAGATAATGTTTAGTAAAAGTACTTTTTTATTTATAAACATTTATTTCATTCTGTTTTTAGTATTTGTTCTTATAGCGGCAACATAAATACATTATCTGTAAAAATTTCAACTGTCTAGCTATAACGGTTCATAAGATAGACCTTTGTGACAGACAGACGGACGAACGGACAGCGAAGTCTCAGTAATAGGGTTCCCGTTTTTACTCTTTGGGTACGGAACCCTAAAAATACAACTATAACATTTTTTATTTATTTGGAACACTGTGTATCACGTATCTAAAATCTAATCGTGTATAAAGTTCAATTTTTTTCTATCAAATCTGTTTAAAAAAATATTATCGACAGTAATCTTTTGTTTCTCTTTGACATATTTTATGCTTTAACAGTCATATTATAAAACCATCGTCACAACTCGCTACGCTACAGTGATAGATACAAACTGCTGCCCCCATTTTAAGGTAATTTATAACCCTAGAGCGCACGCAGCGACATGCTCATTGTAATATAGATGAACCGGGTTTACCTATGTTACCCTATCCCCGATACAATGCCATTTGGCCCCGTAATAGGCAAGTTTGGATTGGCAAAAGGGCAGCAGCCGCTTGTTATATTTATTTGACGGCACCGGTTCTGTCAGGGTTTCGGATTCGGGCAGAACAGTTGCGGATGTTCCGCCGCGAAATGCATTAAATAATATTTCGGATGTTATGTTCGATAAATCAGGTAGGTATTCGAAATATGAATCGACTTAGCGTGGGGTGGAGTAACAAGAAAACATAATTAAACAGGATATGATTCTCATTTTCATATTTCAATTTTGGTCTATGTTAATATTCTATGATAATAACATCGGACTATATTTATCTGTTTTTTTGTTAAATAGACTAAAGCTGTAATTTTATACCGGGTGCGTCTCAAAAGTGGCTCACCCCTGTTATAGCTTTTTTATTTTTTTCAGATAAAAGAACGAGATTTGGTACATTAGTATACAGGATGGTCCGAATTCTCTAGCAGCATATTCTGCAGATAAAAATAAATAAAAATATTCGTATAAATGTATGTCCTGAAATGCTTAGTTACGGAGATACAGGGTGTTGAAGTTTCATTTTTATTTCGATATTTTCCAAATAATTTCTGAAGTAACGTCAATATATAGATGAAAATTCGTGTCTGGGAGTTTTTTGACATGAGAAATCTGATTTTTATGTCAATATGACTCCTATTTGTAGGGGGCGCCACCTACATGAGTTTTAACTAATTTGAATAGTAATAACTTTTTTTGCGTACTTGTATAAAACTACTGGCTGAAAAAATATACATTTCCGTGTTTTTTACGTAAAAAATGTTTCTTCGTAAAAATCGCTACGAGCAACCGTTCTCAAGATATTTAGAATTGAAATGGTCAATATATGTCATTATTGACAAAAAATAAACATATCGAGTAGATTTGACTGAAATTATAAATTTGGGAACTTTTTATTTTTTTAAATTAATGATGAGAAAAATTATGATAAAACAGTTTCTGTTGAACTTTTGGCACAAAAACATTTGAAATTTATGATTTCAGTCTAATAACTATTTAGTTAACATGTTTAATTTATTAAACGGTTTTATTTAGCTCGACCCGTACGGTATTTATTTATTTGTTTGTTTATTTGGGTCAAAATTAGAAATTGAAATTTAAGTACCTTCCTGTTGTCAGATTGATCTGAAATTTGGTACACACCTTTAGTTCGGATGACAATACAATATAGTAATATCAATAACATTGTAAATCTAAGATGGCCGCCGGTACAAAATGGCGGATTTCATATTTTTCCACAACCCCCTCAATATGGGTATCAAATGAAAGGGCTACACTAGTAGAATACTGTGATTATGACAAAATTTAAAATCCAAGATGGACGTCGTTACAAAATGACGTATTAGGTGAGGGCATGAGTAGTCCTGTCCAGAACAGTTGTGTCCAAGATTGTGTGACGTTAGAAGGACAGATAAAAAAAAATAGGTGATGAATTTGTGAAAATGTTGCGGTCCAACATTAACGTTACAAAAGGATTGGTAAATGGTGCTATAGGCCATATTACAGAAATTGTTTGGCCTCAGTTCCGTCGAACCCAAATGTACGAAACAGATGTACCATCAGTTTGGATTGACTTTGGCAGAGACGGCATACACGTTATACACCCGAAAGACATACAGTTTCCGAAAGTATAAGAAGATCTATTCAAAAGCTATAAATAAAATTGAACGAAAAATAAATTTGTGCAATAGGGGGTGGTAACCCTTTCGAACATGTAGACTATGTAAAGCATTAGAAACTAGTTTATAGAAGTTAATTTATTCATAACTACGATTAATATTATGCAAATTAGTAGATCGTATACTGAGAATTTCAAATTTACCATAAGAAAAGTTAAAAATAATATCTTTAAATTGTTGATCTGGATATTATTTATTTGAATCTTTCAATTGGCTCAATTTTCCTTATTCAATGTTAATTAGCACTAATCAATATTGTTGTGAATCAGATTAAATACTTTAAAAAACAGAGTCGGACTTGAATTTTTTTTAAATAATAATTAAATAGTTTTGTTGCTGTTAAGGTACCCAAAACAAAAAAAAAAGTATGAAATGTGCATATCATTGTACTCAGGAGACTGAGTTCTTTCAAAATCTGAAATAAAAAATGCAGGTCCGCATTTAAAAAAATTAAATTGGCCTCTGTATCTCACAAATTATCAGCTAATTTGAAAATCTAAAAATACTATCAGATAGCCCTAATAAAGTGGCTATGAGAATGTGCAATTAGTTTTTTGATTTTCTAAAAAGTAACGACAGAAAAAAATAAAATTTCTTTTCCAAAAAATCAGTTTTTTCCAAAAAACTCAGCAATCCTTGAAATTTTTAAAACTTTTTTGATGGCATCTTGGTGAACAGCCGA